GGCCTTGCTGGATTTCTTCAGTCTATTACTATCCAAGATACTATTACTATCATACCCCTTTTGTTCAATCACATTTCTACACAGCTGTTACATTTTTCGTCAAATCTAAGACTAAAGATGGACAGTCAAATTCCTTGAGTCTTTGGGTCTTTATTCTGAAGGTTTCCATGCCACATAAAAATTTGATTGTAAAAATTTGTTATGTTTTTTAAAAAATGAAAGAGATAATTACTATAGATCCCATGGGTATTAAAAGGATAATAAAGGCATATTATGAACAATTTTATGACTATAAATTTTATAATCTAGATGAAATGAATCAATTCCTTGAAAGAAACAATCTGCCAAAAATTACACAGAAGAAATAGACAACCTGAGTCATCCTAAATCTATTTTTAAAAATTGAACTGCAGCACTATTCACAATAGCAAAAACATGGAACTCACCATGCTGTTCATTGAAACTGGACTGGATTAAAAAATGTGATGCATATTCACGATAAAATATTATGCAGCCATAAGGAAGGACAAACGTGGATTTTGCAGCAACTTTGATGGATTTAGACTCTATAATACTCAATGACCTATCACAGAAACCAAGAACTGAGTACCACATCTCAATCATAAGCAGACCCTGAACATTTATCATAATACTACAAGAAAGGGATTGGCAGTAGCAGAACACTGCCAGGGGAGGGACGGGGGAACACGACATCAATAAAATACAAAATAAAATAAATTAAATAAATTAAAAGTTAAAAAATAAATACATAAAAATTCAATCAGTAACAAATTACAGCCGGGCTCGGTGGCTCAGCCTGTAATCCTGCGCTTTGGGAGGCTGAGGTGAGTGGATTGCTTGAGCCCGTGGGTTCGAGACCCACCTGGGCAACTTGGTGAGACCTCATCTCTACAATAAATTAAAAAATCAGCCAGGCATGGTAGCACGTGCCTCTAATTCCGGCTACTCGGAAGACTGAGGCGGAAGGATCGCCGGAGCCCAGCAGGTCGAGGCTGCGGTGGCCGGGAGCGGCCACTGCACTCCAGTCTGGGCGACAGAGTGAGACTCCAACTCAAAAAAAAATTACCTTCCAAACAGAATCTAGCAAGACTAGAGGGTTCACTAGTGGATTCTGCCAAACATTTAAGGAAAAAACTATACCAGTTCTCTACAATCTTCTCCAGAAGTTAGAAGCAGAAGAAATACTTTCTAATTCAGGCTAAGTGACCAGTATTACCCTAACCTAATGCCAAAATCAGGCAAAGACATTAAAAGAAGATTGCAGACCAATATAGCTCATGAGCATAAATGCAAAAAACTTCAACAAAATATTAGTCCTAACTAATACAATAAAATAAGAAAGAAATAAAAAATGTATAGCTTGGGAAAGAAGAACTAAAACTATCTTTGTCTGCAGATGACATGATTGTCTATGTAGAAAATCTGAAAGAATCAACAACAACAAAATGGAAACTAATAAGCAATTATAGCGAGGTTGCAGGATACAAGGTTAATGTACAAAAGTTACTTTCCTATATGCCAGCAATGAAAAAATGAAATTTTAAATTAAAAATATGCTACCAGCCAGGTGTGCTGGCTTATGCTTATAATCCCAGCACTTTGGGAGGCAGAGATGGGAGGATCATTTGAGCCTAAGAGTTTGATACCAGCCTGGGCAACATAATGAGACCTCATCTCTGTAAAAAAAAAATTTTTTTTTTAATTAGTCAGATGTGTTGGCTTACACCTATAGTCCCAGCTACTCAGGAGTCTGATGCAGGAGGATCGCTTGGATTCAGGAGTTCAAGGCTGCAGTGAGCCGTGATCATGCCACTGTACTCCAGCCTGGGCAACAGAGTAAAACCCTGCTTCAAAAAACAAAACACACACACACACACTACCATTTACATTAGCACCTCAAGAAATAAAAAACAAATTTTTTTTGAGTTGTAGTCTCACTCCATCGCTCAGGCTGGGGTGCAGTGGCACACTCACAGCAACCCAGCATCAACCTGTGAACTCAGATGATCCTTTCGCCTCAGCCTTCAAAGTAGCTGGAACCACAGGCGTGTGCTACTACCCCCAGCTTATTTTTTGGTTTATTGTAGAGACGAGGTCTCACCAACTTGCCCAGGCTGGTCTCGAGCCACCAGACTCAGGTAATCCTCTTGCCTCAGCCTCCCAAAGTGCTGAGACCACGCTTGGCCAATAAAATTCTTAAGTATAAATCTAACAAAATATATATAAGATCTATATGAGGAAAACTACAAAACTCTGATGAAAGATATCAAAGAAGAACTAAATAAATGGAAAGATATTTCATGTTCATAGATAGGAAGATTCAATGTTGTCAAGATACCAATTTTTTCCAACTTGATCTATAGACTGAACACAATCCCAATCAAAATCCCAGCAAGTTGTTTTGTGGCTAACAACAAACCAATTCTGTAGTTTATATGAAGAGCCAAAAGAACCAGAATAACTAACTTGAAGGAGAAGATCAAACTCAGAGGACTGACCTTATTGGACTTCAAGACTTCTATAAAGCTATGGCAATCAAGATTATGTGGTATTGGCAAAATAATAGACAAATATCAATGGAATAGAATAGAGAGCCCAGAAAGAGACCCACATACATGTAGTTAACTGATCTTTGACAAAATAGAACAGACAATACAATGGAATCAAGGGAGTCGAATTTTCAACACAGGTGCTAGAACAATTGGATAAAAATAATCATCATCATCAGCTAGATACAGACCTTACACTTTTTACAAAAACTAACTCAAAATGGGTCATAGACCTAAATATAAAATGCAGAACTATAGAACTGCTGGAAGATATCATAGGAGAAAACCTAGGTGACCTTGGGTGCGGTGATGACTTTTTAGCTTTGATACCAAAGACATGAGCCATGAAAGAAATAACTGAAAGTTAGACTTTATTAAAATCAAAACCTTTTGCTCAGCAAAAGACATCGTCAAGAGAATATGACAAGCCATATACTTGGGAAACATTTGCGGCCCAGAATGCTGACACCACCAAATGGTGTTGAGAGTGGGGAGCAACAAGAACTCTCATTCATTGCTGATGAGAATGCAAAATAATACAGCCACTTTGGAAAACAGTTGGGCAGTTTCTTACAAAACTTAATTTGCTTTTACTATATGATCCAGCAACCGTGCTCCTTGGTTTTAATTCAAAGGAGTAGCAAACTTATGTCCACACAAAGCCCTGCATCCAAGTGTTGATAGCAGCTTTATTCATAATTGCCAAAACTTGGAAGCAACCAAGATGCCCTTCAGTAGGTAAATGAATAAATAAACTGTGGTACATCCAGAAAATGGAATCGTATTTAGTGCTAAAAAGAAATGAACTCTCAAGCCAGAAAAAGACATGGAGGAACCTTAATTGCATACTAAGTGAAAGAAGCCAACCTGAAAAGGCAACATACTATATAATTCCAACTATGTAACGTTCTGGAAGAGGCAAAACTATGGAGACAGTTAAAGGATCAGTGGTTGTAGTCATTGTGGGAGAGACAGGATAAATAAACAAAGCATGGAGAAGGTTTAGGACATTGAAACCATTCTGTGTTATGTACATCAAAAACCATAGAACACACAACACCAAGAGCGAACTTCAAGATAAACTATAGACTTTGGGTGATAATGAGGTGTCAATGTAAATTCATCAATGGTAACAAATAGACTGCTCTGGTACAGAATGTGGATAGTGCGGAAGGTTGTGCATATGTGGGGTCAGGAAGTGTGTGGGAACTCAGTACTTTTTGCTTAATTTTTCTGTAAACCTAAAAAATAGTTTATTACTTTTTTTGAGTTGGAGTCTCACTCTGTCGCCCAGACTGGAGCTCCGTGGGACACTCACGGCTCCCCAGCATCAACCTGCTGGGCTCCAGCAATCCTTCTGCCTCAGCTTTCCAAGTAGTTGGAACTACAGCACGTGCTACCATGCCGGGCTAATTTTTTTATTTTTTTTTGTAGAGACGAGGTCTCACCAAGTTGCCCGTGCTGATCTCGAACTCATGGGCTCAGGCAATCCACTTGCCTCGGCCTCCCAAAGTGCTGGGATTACAGGCTGAGCCACCAAGCCTGGACTATTACTTTTTTCAAAGCAGAGTGCTCAGTAATACATATAATGTAATCCCATTTATGTTTTTTTAAAAACCACACAGAAATATACATGTATTTTATATATAGGTGCATCAAAAATATACAAAATATAAAATATAGGTGTGTATCTTTTGTCTATATCAACTGGCAACAGTGTTGCCACTGGCATTGAGGTGGGAGGAGGATAGAGGCACCCTCTGCTGTGTCCTATAGTCTGTAACATTCACTTATCTAAATACAGCATAAAGGTTGCATGCAGTGGCTCACGCCTGTAATCCCAGCACTTTGGGAGGCCAAGGCACAAGGATTGCTTGAGTCCAGGAGTTTGAGACCAGCCTGGGCAACATAGCGAGACCTCATCTCTACAATAAATCAAAAAATTAGCTGGGCGCAGTGGCATGTGCCTGTAGTCCCAGCTACTCAGGAGGAGGCCAAGGGAAGGAAAGATCGCCTGAGTTGGCAGTGGAGGCTGCAATGACTGTGAGCGTGCCACTGCACTCCAGCCTGGGTGACACAGTGAAACTCTGACTCAAAAAAAAAAAAGACAAAAAAGAACTTGCTGTTAGACATGTATCTCTGGATCCTCCTTTCAAGGAGATATTAGAAGGAAACATTGCCTGGCAATTTAAAAATACAGAATGGTAGCGCTTTGTGCCACATTTATTCATTCAACAAGTATTTTTGAGTGCCTCATCTATGCCAGGCATTTTGCCAGACCCTGGCAGTCTCCAGGGTGACTGAGAAACAGCCCCTGGGATCCCAGGTCAGGGTGCGGTGGGTGTGGCAGGGGAGAGTTGTGTTTTGTTTTCTCAAAGGCTGGAAAAGTTCTGCCCTTTGGGAAAACTGACTGTGATTCCTTCTCCTCAGAGAAACCGTGTGGAGACCCACCTTCGTTCCCACACACCATCCTGCAGGGCCGCACCGGCTTGGAGATGGGCGATGAGCTGCTGTATGTATGTGCCCCAGGCCACATCACGGGGCATCGTGACACCGCCTTCACCTTGCTATGTAACAGCTGTGGGGAGTGGTATGGCCTGGTGCAGGCCTGCGGGAAAGGTAAGCGCCCTGGGACTGGGCCATACTGGCTGCATGGGGTGGGTTCTTCCCCACGTGGGTATCTTTGAAAGGAGGTTTTCAGACCTTTCCACTGAGCTCTGGACCAGGCAACATCTTGGTCTGGAGGTTTCTGCAGTGTTTCAAATGCAGCATATTCACCACTGAGCTCATCATCTTCCATGCTGGGAGCAAAGGGTCAAGAAAATCCAGCCGGGCTCGGTGGCTCAGCCTGTAACCCCACGCCTTTGGGAGGCTGAGGTGAGTGG